ACGTCATGATCATTTGCTTGTTTCTTTTAGGGGAGTTCTATCCACTTGTTCAGATTTTGGTAGCAATAATTTCACCAGAATAGGGGTTTGTTTTGGGATGCTTACCTTTCTGGGTGTCTGACCTGGTCGATTGCAGACACAGAATGCTTCCAACCACACGGGGGTTTCTATAGGCCATTGCTCCCCATGCCTCTCTGAGGGGACCCAGGTTCTGGCTCGTGGTCCCCAGTAGACCCACAGAACTCCATACACATGACTGATGCCAATGTCTGACATTAGCATATCAACCTAGTAAGCTCCAGGGAAGCCGAAGGGGCTCCCCCTCAGAAAAGTGGATTGATGTAAAAAAAAAAATCAAATTGCCAAAATAGGTTGGAATACCTATTGTATACTTATTTATTCAAAACTACCATAGAAATCTGTCCCTTTCATTTGGCATTTCTGGATAATTAAAACCAGCGTTGAATCTAATGAAACGTCATTTTCTGGGCGAGACTTGGAGGTTCCTCGGAGCTATACCGGGGTGATGTGTATATATTAGATTGTGGCAAGTCAGTCGAAGGAGTTCTAAGCCTACCGGGGACCAGAGCCAGAACCTGGTCCCCTCATGAGAGGCACGAGGAGCACCCATGCTCCTCGTGCTTCCAAAGACACCCCTGTGTAATTGGAAGCAGTCTTTGTCTGCCATCTACCAGGTCAGGCACCCAGAAAGGAAGGAATTTCAAAAACTGCTGCTGGTCAAAAATTGCAAACCGAAAGCCGAACTAGCAAACAGAACTCCCAAATCTAAAACAAGGAAAGAAACATGACGTCACCACAACCGCTGCGCATCTGTCTGCGCAATCCCCCCACCCCAGAAGGGAGACAGGGGGGTCCCAGACTTCCATGCCAGCAACTCTCCTCAGTTCAGAGGCCGAGTATCAAAAAATTGATAAACCGCCGACTGGAGGGAGGGAGGGATGCCGGGGAGCCTCTGGGTCTAACCCAGAAAATGGCGTTTCATTACATTCAACGCTTGTTTTCTGTGGAGAGCCCCTTCAGCTTCTGGAGCTACCTAACCAAAGATAAGAAGAAAAGGGACTCACTAGGGAGGCGGCCGTCACTTGCTCCTCAACTCTAAGTCGAGACAACAGGCCGCAACCTGCGACCCAAGGCTATACACGCCCGAGAAGGACTAGGAACATTAACAAGGTAACGTGCAGCCAGGACCCTGTTCGACCTCCAATAGCCCCGTGCCCAAAAGATAGGCCAGGACATTACCAAAACAGCAGCCGAATGCCGAACTTACGAACGGCGTGGGCATGGGGAAAGACCGCAGGCTGGCTGGACCGAATAATCCTGCGGACAACCTGGGAAACCCGCGCCCTGGAATAGGGAAGAAGGGGAAACTGGGTCAACCCAAAGCGCATCCTCTGCCACAGAGGCCGTAATGTGCAAATAACGGTGAAGAGCCACTGACAGACTAAACATGATGCACCCCCGGCTGAACCAACCAAGCATCAACAATCCAAGGACCCCTTCGGAAAGCAGCAGACTCATTCTTCGCCAGAAAAGAAGGAGACTGCTGCAAACGAAAGAAAAGACCACCAGGACCGAAAGAGCAGAAACCCCTGCGCCGGAGAAGAGCATGAAACTCTCTGACCCGACCCCCAGAGGCCAATGCCAACAAGAAAAGAGCCGTAGAAAAACAGTCCTGAATCGAGGAGGCCACCCCAAACCGAGGAGAAGGGAGAAGAGAGCACCCGGTGCAACGACCAGGACAGCTCAGGTGGTTCATGAGCAGGGAAGGTGAAAACAACGCCCGAGAAAGCTTGCAAAACAGAGCAGAAGTGACATCCACCCCAAATGCAAGCTGCAGCGGCTCTGCCAGTGCCACCCAAAATGAGACGGCAGTATCTGGCATAAGAAGATGGTCCTGAAACAACTAAGAAAGAAAGGACCAAACAACCTATGAAGAGACAAGTGCCGAAAAGACCGCCAGGAATTTCATACTGCCGTCGAGACGAAACTCGCAGGTGGGACATCAACTAAGCCACCTGATCACCATACAAGTGGTGATAAACCCGCGTTAAAAAGACCAGACACGAGAAACAGAGAAGATCGAACAAGCCACGTACCGGAATGGATCGATCTGCTGAAAGAGGCAGAGTCGCAGGAAGACCCTCGGGTTCGGACATCGAGCAAGAAGCACCTGAAACCAGGACTGGGCCGGCCACCTAAGAGCCAACAGGACTACTCATCCCTGGTAAGTCTCTCTAAGCTAAGCAAGACCCGGAACAACAACCGAACCGGTGGGAAGAGGCACAGGTAACCCCAACTCGATCAGTCCAGCCGAAAGGCATCGACTCCGACGGCCTTGCAGTCTGGGAAGGGCGCCACATACACTGGAAGACGCCTCGACCAAGTCGATGCGAAGAGGTCCACCTCTAGGTGCCCATACATCCGGCAGAGCCAACTGAACGAGTGTGTGTCGACCGTCCATTCCATGAATAGGGGAATGAACCGAGACAGGCCATTTGCCGGGACGTTTGACACCCCCTGAACGTGAACTGCCAGGAGAGCCAAACCCCTGAGAACTCAGCAAATGAGTCACCTGAAGCAACCAGCCCCACAGAGCCAAAGACCTCATCAAACCCCCGCAGTTCAGACAATGAACCACTGGGGAGCTATCCGAATGGAGCTGGATCATTGCTCCACGAGCAACACGAACCCTCTGAAGCGAATGTCACACCACCGCGAACTCCTGCGCTGTGCTGTGAGCCTGATGGAAGGACAGACCCCACTGACTCTGGCCAGGCTGGTGAACACTGGTCACAAAATCCCAGCTGAGAGACAAGGCATCCGTGAACACATCGAGCGAGGGCTCAGGGAAGCATCAGGGCATAGAAACCCCGAAAAAACCCTCAGAGGAAGCCGGCGACGCAGCAGCCAACGCAAGGCTCCTGTGATCCAAACACAGTGATTACGAGAGCGGCGGAAGGGACGCCCCCGAAGAAACCAGAACATCCGTCAAAGATCCGACCTGATGAGTAAACCAGCACTGCCAAGATCAGGCTCCCACACCACCACTCAAACAACCGACGTGTGACCCGGGTGTCCTCCAAAAACAGTCGTAAGCGGGACCGCAGCTGCAACAATGCTGCCAGAGGGAGAGACAAGGAAGCAGTCGAGAGTCCCACACAAGACCCATCCCAGTCCGAATCAGAGAGGGAACCAAATGGGACTTCTTCCAGTGCACCAAGAACCCGAACTACGTGAGCTGGTGAGGAACTAAATCCCTGGTGAGCAGACACGTGAATTGGCTGGGAGCCCACACCAGCCAATCATCGAGGTAAGCCGGGTTGAGGCATGTGGACACGCGAGATGCCAGATCCAAACTGGAAGGAAGGCAACGAAAGCGGTAAGTCTGTCACTCCACAACAAAACCGAGCCAGTCCCTGAACACCGGATGAATCGGAACATGCTAATATGCATCCTGGAGGTCCAGAGACACCATCCAGGCACCCGGCAGACCCAAGACAGAGTGGTCATCTGAAAGGAGGGGCAAAAGACCCAGGGTATCAGACGGGACAAGTCCAGTATGAATCGCAGATCTGCCCAGTCCCGTTTCAGAACTGAAAACAGGCGGGAAACCCACTCCAGGATGACCTGACAGAGCGCAGGGGAAGAGGCCCGTCCTGCAAGCCCCAATCCCCCCAAAGGAGAAGGAAAGAAGCAACTCCACTGAAGGCCGGAGGAAAATGACCTGAATTGCCCACGAATCGTGGGACCAGGGGAGAACAAATGGGGTGAGCCTCCCCCCTATCGCCCCGCCAACAGGATGAACCGTGAAAGGGACAATGACCCCTATGAGAGCCCGACTGACGCTCAGAGCGATCACTGAGCCAATGACTTCGCAGAAAGGCCTGTCCCGAATCTGGCACTACTGGCTTACGACGAACGAAGGAGCCCAGAAACCTAGTGCGACCCTTCCGGGCAGGACCTCCATGGCCCCCTCCTGGAGAACCTACAAGTCCTACATAGGCCGTCAACTAGATGAAGTCGCCTGCAGAAAATGCACCACCGCAGACTCTGCAAACAGCAACAGACAAAAAACGGGATGAAAATCTAAGACCCAGGGCCCAAGATGATTAAAAAAATTGGACGAGCACCGCCTGTCAGCACGCGAGACGAGAAGCAAAGAACAGACACCACCTCCCTCAGAAACGGCGCATACAACTTCAACAGAGCAGCCGGCACCCGAGCTGCCGAAGCAAGCACACCGGACACTGGCCCAGAACCCAGCTCTTCCATACCCATCACGAGCCAGTACGAAGACAGCTCCAGCAGGGAAAAGAAGCACAAGACAGAAGCCAAGTGCCCACGGGCGCACAAATCCTCGGCCACCAGGGATGCCGAAAGGGAGGGAACCTGCACATGAAGCCGCACCTGGCCAACATCATAAGGAAAGACGGGGGCAAACAAGCATGCATTGAGGTGCTCCAACTCGCCCTCCAGGAAAACCTGAACGACCGTAGTCAACTCTCGGCATTCAAGTGCACAGTTCAACAGGACGAATGCCAAGCCCGCAACGAAAGAAAAGGCTTTCTGCCAGCCAGGAAGACTCCGGCACCTTGTAACGTACTAAATAAGGAAAAGAGGAGCCAAACTCAAAAGAAGAAGGCTTCATTATCGAGACTTAATCCAGGTCTCGCAGGGGGTAAGCCGCAAGGGCCTCCCACACCTTCCTCGGTTGGATACAGGAAGCCAAAAACCTCCAGAAGAAGGGAACTGAAGAACCCCAGGGAACTCGGAACCGAACCCGGGGAGGAGTTGAACTCGTAACAAAATCGTACAGGAGGAGGATAGGAAAACCCCTCCCCCTGTAACAACAAGCCCCGTGCCGAGGGTACCAAACACCCAAACAGGGACAAGTGGGGCCCAGGACCCCAAAAGTCAACTCTTCTCCCGCCCCGGAATCCTTCATGTCAGGACCCAGAGCTGAGCCGTCCTCCAAACCCTCAGCCTGTGGAGAAAAAGCAAGTCCACCGGAAAAGCAGGCATGAATGAAGGGGGCCTGCTGGTGTGGCCCAAAAGCTCCAGCAGGAAGACCAGGCTCGAATGCCTTTGCCGTCGATCCGGAAGGGGGCAATCCCCGAAGCCGCCCGAGTCTCACTACCAGTATAATTCAGTGAGGCAGCTGCGGGGCATCCGGAAAGGCAATCAACCTCGCACATTGCCGCAACCTAAACCTCGCATGCAACGCTAAAGCTGCCTGCACCCAAATATCAGACGCAGTGGACTGGGTGAATGGAGTAAAAGCAAAGAACACCATTCGCAGGACTCCGGGTCATAGGTGTCACTGACCCCAACAGGCAGCAAGGCGGAGGCAGACGGTGAGTGTCACCCTGAGACAAGGGGACAGAGCAACCTTCAAACTCGCACAAGGCGAGGTGGGACTCAGAGGTCTTCTACACTGGACCACTGAGCCCCAAAGGGGGTTTCCAGGGCCCTTAGGCTGACTGCTAAGGGAAGCCCAGGGGAGGTACTGATAACAGGTTATCCCAGAGCTACCAAGCAAACTAACTAATAGCTGAACCCCTGCGACGTGTACAAGCACGGGGGACCTAGTGGATGGCCACCCAAATCCTACAAGTGGTCCTACTGCCACAACAGGCAGACCCCCCCCAGGCCCCAAGAAAAATCAAAACAAAAACAAAAGGAAAACCCCGCAAAAGTACGTCTCCAGGTGAACAGAACCGGTCGCTATGCATATATCAGACAGCTGCACAGTACTTCGCGCCCCAGCCAGCGACGAAACTACCTCCTACCCAAGGGCAAACAAAAGTAAGAACCTCCCCAGCTGAACCCCCAAGGGCGGGCAATTGCCAAGCAGCGACAGAACCACACAGAGGTACCGGCTCCTGAACGGCTCATGGAAGATAACCCTGAGGCCGCAAAGGAAGTACTGTACTTATGGGGCACCTAAGGAAGGTAGCCCTAGGTGCATGCTGCCCCAGTACTCTTGTGTTACTTCTGGCTCACATGCCACCAAAACAGCAACAATACCGCACTGCAGCACTGCGCAAAGAGTGGAGCCAGAGCGATCGATCGTCACCAATACAACAGTCTCTTGAACTGGGAAAAGTTGCCGGCGTGGAGATTTGGGACCTCCCTCCCCCCCAGGAGGGGGAGGGGTTGCGCAGACGGATGCGTGGCGGTTGTGGTGACGTCATGTTTGTTTCCTTGTTTTTTATTGGGGAGTTCTGTATGGTAGTTCGGCTTTCAGTTTGCAATTTTTGGCCAACAGTAGTTTGTTTTGAAATTCCTACCTTTCTGGGTGCCTGACCTAGTTGATAGCAGACAAAGACTGCTTCCAATTACACGGGGATGTCTTCAGACCATTGCTCCTCGTGCCTCTCTTGAGGGGGGCCAGGTTCTGGCTCTGGTCCCCCGGTAGGCTTAGAACTCCTTCAATTGACTGTTGCCACGGTCTAATATATACACATCAGCCTGGTATAGCTTCGAGGAGCTGAAGGGGCTCTCTACAGAAAAACGACACCAATGGTGACGTATTCTGGAAACGAAAATGACACTCTAACTGGCCCATTGTGAACAGATGAGATGGGGGACTGTGTATCCAGTAGATTGGTTCAGTAAACACTATGGAAGTAAAGAGTGCAGGATGATTTGTACCAGCAACCTGGAAAAAATATAAAAATTTTGTTTAGTTAATATACAGTATTTTAGTAATATTGCAACATGTGCAAACCTCACTCCCTCTGCTAGGGCATTTACATTATACAGTAGATATAGAGCAGTGGTCCTAAGACATAGGTCTTGGAAACCCCATTTTCCATTCCTAACCAAGCTGACAAATTCTCTGACTGATTGCTGTTTGACAGGTACTCCTGTATATATATGTATTTTTAGGGGGGAGGGGGCGGACAGAATCTGTTTTGCCTCCATTAACCACTGTGCTGCGCTGGCCGAGAAAACTTGTTCGCCTAAAACTGCGCCGGCCGAGGAAACACCAGTGTAAGATTTCGTACCCATTCAAAATGCGAGCGAGGTTGGTTGGGTACAAAATGAACTCCTGGGATCTCCAGTGAGAGGCAGCCATCTTGGAAAAAATTCCCAGAATACTTTAGGACTGCTGGCTGAATCAGTTCTGAGTGAGCAACCACGGGGTGGAGCTCGTGCCTCTGGCTCCCAACCCGTTTGACGTGGTGTTGAAAAATCACTCTGTTAGTGAAATTCAGAACTTATTGTTTGAAGAACATAAGGGTCATGATATTGATGAAGCTACAAGGGTCGGAAACAAGTCATACAGCACCGATGAGAACGATACAGCGAGCGTATCCAGTAGCAGCCGAGCTCCACCCATGCCCACCCATGTCATCTCCAATTTTTATAGATGCACCCACTTTCTCATAACCTTAGGGTAAGGGATAGTTTGCACTGGTAGGGACGCAGGGTACTGCGCAGCTAGTTATCACCTATAATGCCGGTCGGCTCTGTTCTGCCTGGGTACGTTGTCCTCTTGTGGGGTTTTCATTTGTTTTTGTTTTCCTGCCTGCTGGGGGGTCTGCCTTCGGTTCATTGCCCACTATCTGTCCTTTAGGTTTCTCTCTGTATCTGTGTTTCTGGGTGGTACCCCCTGCTTGGCCCCCGTGAGTGGGCACATCCCAGGGGTTCAGCTTTTAGCGGTTTGTTGGTAGACTTGGGCACCAGTTAGCAGTACCCTTGGGCTTACCCTTAGCGATAACAGTCTAAGGGGCTCTGGGAAAACCTGCGAGAGGCACAAGGGGTCCCATGAATGCGACCCATGGGTCTCCCTCTTGCTTTGTGCAAGTTTGAGGGTTGCTCTGTCCTCTTGTCTCAGGGCGACGCTCATTTTTTTTGCCTCCATCATGCTGCCTGTTGGGTCGGTGACACCGACCCAGAGTTTTGCGAGCATTGTTGCTTGTTTGTGACTCAATTCGGCCATTCAACTGATGACATTATCCGGCTACAGGTGGCTCCAGTGTTGCATGCTAGGTTTAGGTTGCTGCAACGTGGTAGGTTGCTTGCTATCCCAGGTGCCCCGAGGCTGCCCGCTTTGCTTTAGGGATCCGGACTTGGGGGCGTTGGATGCTTCGGCCTTGGCTCAGTCTACACCCCCCTGTTCTTCCCTTGCTGTGGTGCATTCTGGTCTCCCTCCTGCTTCCGGTTCCGAAGCATCTGACGACTTTGGGGTCGGGGTGGGGTTTAGCTAGTTTTGAGACTTGGCAGTCTCGAGGGATGCTCCTTCCGGGGTGGTGACGGAGGCATTCAAGTTGGTTCCTCCAGCCGTTGCGTATGGGTCTGACTAGTAGGCCCCCATCCCTAATGTTTTTACGGCTGCCCCGGCTTTTTCTTTTGAGGCCGGGGCTTTGGAGGACGATTTAGCCCTGGGTCCTATTGTGGAGGTTCCCGGGGTTGGGAAGGGGCTGACTTGGTGGCCTTAGGCCCCATTGAACCCCGCCTGGGTTTTCCTACCCTCCAAGTGGGGCTTACTGTTACATGGATATGGGTTTTCTTTTCCCCGCCCCTCTCTACGTACAAGTTTGTTTTGGTGTAGGCCCCACCCTGGGTTTGGTTCCATGTCCTTTCGGATCCATCCTTCCTGTGGGTAAATTTTAACCACTTTCTCAGCATTATTATCTAGGATATGTATACTTTCTACATCATGTCACATTTATGTTAAACATTTCTGGATCCTGCATGACCATTGGTCCCATATGCTAATGGGCCCATATGAGCCTACGTGATTTTGTCCTTGATTATCAAAGATCTCGAAGGTTCGAGACATACATTACAGACACTGCCTTAATCGACCGAGCTACGACATGGTCAAAAGAACTGCAACCAGAAGTTCTACTGAACTTACTTAGATCCTACAGCCTCTCTGAGACACAAACCAGGGTTTTACACAATTCCCCATGCACTCAAGCTCTATCAATAAGCTGTTCTACCTCTTTGCCCTTACTTCATTACACACAGAAATCACAACAGCATGATGCATCAAATGAACAAATTCACAAGGGCCGTGACGAGGGTTTGAACCCTCTGTGTGTAATTTGAAGTTCGAATTTCTGAGTGTGTAATGACGTACAAGTTCTTTTTTCTTGCCTCTGGATGCTCATTCCTTGACCATCATTCAGTGCCTGGCTGCACTCTTTTATATACATTGGAATCTCTCTGTATATCTTTTTTATCATATACATTAAGTTACCAATTTCTCCCTAGGTCATATTAGTTCATCATATTGATTATACTCTCTTGTCCCTAGATACCAGCACTTGGACTATATTTAACCCTTAAATTGCACAACACGTCATATGATGTATTGAGTAACTTACCCAAAACTGCACAAAACATCATATGATGTGTTGGAGTACTATGCAAGATTTAAACGAGTTCAAATACACTGGGTTCACCTCACCTTTATCAGGGCTCTTGTAAAACAGACGCCATTTTTTTTTTTAAATCGTGAGCAATATTCCCGGGTGTGAGGGCCTAAGTACTGAGTGAGCCACCAAGGCTGGCGCACACAGCATGAGCTCCCAGCACTGCTGTTCAGCTTGTGACCACAGCATCACCTAAAAAGCCATAATATGCCTGTTCATGCTATTATGTAGCGATGATATTATTACAGAAGACCCCTGACTGTGATAAAACTGACCAGGGTTCTGATAATAGACCACTTGGTTTCCGAACTTTAGTTATCCGAAACTTCCAGTTTCCCGATTGGGGTTGGGGAGTCATGCTACCCGAACAAAGTTCGGGTAGGAAGGGGTCCGCCAAGCGTCACGCCGGCTTGTGGTGGTGGGTGGGCGATGGTCCAGTTTGCCCACTGTGACTTCACAGATTCATGGCCTATTATTCCTATTATTTTGAATTGCCATAAGGCTGGAATGTTCATTCTGTGCTTTTGTTTTACATATCTGCACAATCAAGAAACATCTGTGCACCATGTTGGCTCCAAATGCACGCATTGCGTCAGTGATGGCTGACTGGTGGGTGGATGGACGATGGAGCTTAGGTGGGAGGCAGTATGAATGAGGGGGGGGGGGGGAGAATCAGTGAGAGAGGGGGAGAGAGAGATGCTAGGAGGGAGGGGGAGGTAGGGAGAGATGCTAAGAGGGAGGGGGAGGTAGGGAGAGATGCTAGGAGGTAGGCAGGAAGGGATGGAAGTAGTGAGAATTAGGGAGGGAAAGGCAGGCTGGCAGGCAGGCACAGGCAGGCAGGCAGGCAGGCAGGCAGGCAGGCTAGCTTGCAGGCAGGCAGGGAGTGAGTGGTAGTCACGCGGTTGAACCGCGTGACCTTGAGAGATGGGATGTAGGGGGGCGGGTGGTTTGTTGGTGGTGGGGGTGAGACCGGCTCATTCCCGAAGATAAGCCTAACACACACTACCCGTTAGCATGATGGCAGGGAGGGAGGCAGGCTGGCTGGAAAGGAAGCAGGCTGGCAGGCTGGGAAGGAGGCAGGCAGGCTGGCTGGGAAGGAGGCAGGCAGGCTGGCTGGGAAGGAAGCAGGCTGGCAGGCTGGGAAGGAGGCTGGCAGGCTGGGAAGGAGGCAGGCAGGCAGGCAGGCTGGGAAGGAGGCAGGCAGGCAGGCTGGGAAGGAGGCAGGCTGGGAAGGAGGCAGGCAGGCTGGGAAGGAGGCAGGCAGGCAGGCTGGGAAGGAGGCAGGCAGGCAGGCTGGGAAGGAGGCAGGCAGGCAGGCTGGGAAGGAGGCAGGCAGGCAGGCTGGGAAGGAGGCAGGCAGGCTGGCTGGGAAGGAGGCAGGCAGGCTGGCTGGGAAGGAGGCAGGCAGGCAGGCTGGGAAGGAGGCAGGCAGGCAGGCTGGGAAGGAGGCAGGCAGGCAGGCTGGGAAGGAAGCAGGCTGGGAAGGAGGCAGGCAGGCTGGCTGGGAAGGAGGCAGGCAGGCAGGCTGGGAAGGAGGCAGGCAGGCAGGCAGGCAGGCAGGCAGGCTGGGAAGGAGGCAGGCAGGCAGGCTGGGAAGGAGGCAGGCAGGCAGGCTGGCAAGGAGGCAGGCAGGCAGGCAGGCTGGGAAGGAGGCAGGCAGGCAGGCTGGGAAGGAGGCAGGCTGGGAAGGAGGCAGGCAGGCAGGCTGGGAAGGAGGCAGGCTGGCAGGCTGGGAAGGAGGCAGGCAGGCAGGCTGGGAAGGAGGCAGGCAGGCAGGCAGGCTGGGAAGGAGGCAGGCAGGCAGGCTGGGAAGGAGGCAGGCAGGCAGGCTGGGAAGGAGGCAGGCAGGCAGGCTGGGAAGGAGGCAGGCTGGGAAGGAGGCAGGCAGGCTGGGAAGGAGGCAGGCAGGCAGGAAGCGATATATGGGTGTTGAAGTGAATCGTGAACCACGTGACCTTTGAGAGTGTGTGTGTGTGTATGGGTTTGGGGTGGGGGGAGAGGGGGAGGTGTGTCGGTGGTGGGGGAGGGACCGGCTGACTCCATAAGCCTAACCACACTCCACAGACCTGTGACCCAGATTTGTTTCTTAAATGTACAGTACATCATCGTATATTTTAGGCAGGATGTGCCTGCAGGCTGGCAGGATGTGCCTGCAGGCTGGCAGGATGTGCCTGCAGGCTGGCAGGCAGGATGTGCCTGCAGGCTGGCAGGCAGGATGTGCCTGCAGGCTGGCAGGCAGGATGTGCCTGCAGGCTGGCAGGCAGGATGTGCCTGCAGGCTGGCAGGCAGGATGTGCCTGCAGGCTGGCAGGCAGGATGTGACTGCAGGCTGGCAGGCAGGATGTGCCTGCAGGCTGGCAGGATGTGCCTGCAGGCTGGCAGAATGTGCCTGCAGGCTGGCAGGCAGGATGTGCCTGCAGGCTGGCAGGCAGGATGTGCCTGCAGGCTGGCAGGCAAGCTGGCAGGCAGGCTGGCAGGATGTGCCTGCAGGCTGGCAGGATGTTTCTGCAGGCTGGCAGGATGTTCCTGCAGGCTGGCAGGAAACATCCAGAGGATGTTTGCCAGACGTCTTAATAATCAGTTAGGAACAATTAAGGACTTTTATAAAGCGGATCAGGACTTCACTTATTGGTGAGTACAAACAAAACACGGTCGCATTTACGCCATGAACCTGTCGATTTTTTCCCCTAGAGTTATTCATAAATTTTTCGGAAAAATTTCTTTTTACATTTCTAGTTTATTTTTTCCCCTCTATTTCTCGTATACGAACTTACATGTTAACCGACGGGTCTCGTCCCCAAGGGGTTCGGAAACCAAGTGGTGCTCTGTAGCAGGATTGTGGTGATATGTAGCTCTGTGCTCCATGGAGGGAGGAGTAAGGCTGTGGGAGGGAGGGTGGTGGCGTTGTCTTCTGACTGTGTGTGCCCACCTTTTATTGACTGCACTCACCATACCAGCTTAGTGGTTCGCTATGGTGAACACAAATGTAGATACTTTTGTACAAATGTAGATACTTTTTTGTATCTACAAATTGTGTTCAGCTTGTGACCACAGCATCACCTAAAAATTTCAACATATATATGTACATGCTAATATTTAGCGATGATAGTATTCTAAAGAGGGAGGCTCCCCGGCATCCCTCCCTCCCTCCGGTCGGCCGCTTGTTCGCCTGTTTTTGCCATCCGGCCTCAGAACTGAAGGTGTGGGTTGCCGGCGCGAGGAGTCTGGGGTTCTCCCTTCCCCCCTCCCAGGAAGGGGAGAGCTGTGTAGACGGCGGCGCAAAAAGTGGTGATGTCATGCTCGTTTGCTTGTTTTCCTTTGGGGAGTTTTATCCACTCGTTTGACTTTCAGTAGTAGATTCAACCAGAATAGGGGTTTGTTTTGGGATGCTTACCTTTCTGGGTGCCAGACCCGGTCGATGGCAGACATAGAATACTCCAAATCACATGTGCTATTCTACAAGCCATTGCTCCTTGTGCCTCTCTGAGGGGCCAGGTTCTGGCTCGTGGTCCCTGGTAGGCTTATGAGCTCTATTGACACTGATGTCAAAGTCTAATATATTACATATCAGCCTGGATAGCTCCAGGGAGCCTCCAGATCTCCCCCAGAAAATAGTATTGCATTACAGTCAACACTGGTTTTATGCAACTTCCTATCCCTAACTTATAAAAAGAGGGATGCACCGCTATAGGAACATGATACACTGCACTTATCATTATTGTAGGAGATCAGCACAAGTCACACATGTGACACTGGGACTCTCCCTTACTCCAGTTCTACACCAAGTGACCGAGAGAGCTCCCACATCTCTCTCTCTCTCTCTCTACCACCCAGTCCAATAATGCTCAAACAAGTGTTTCGTCCACATTTCCCAACAGTTTATTTATGTTTTATAATGTTCCAGACTGTTTTTCTACATTTAACACTGTTGTTCCTATATATTTTCCCACTCTGAATGTTTCAATTTAAACATTATTTCCTTTGTTGTTACCCTGTTCTGGGGATGATGCTTTCCTGTTAAGATAATGCTCTGCACATGTGCAAATCTGCTTTTTTGTACTGGTGGGGTTTTCAACTGTAAGAGTTCCAGACTTTTTTTCAACATTTAACACTGCTATTTCTCCCTTTACAAAGCTCTTTCTGTCTTACAACAAAAAAACAAATATAGATTATTAGATGCAAGAAAATTTTTAAAATCTGTCCTAAAGCAATGATGCTATACAACTAAAGAGGATTACAAATGCTGTACATATGCAGTAAACTGCTTTTAGTACCATATAAACTTCAAATCATTAAATGTTAAAATGCAAACTGTTTGAAATAACAGCCACTGCATATATTTAATATAACTACTGAATTAACTCACCACATAAATATTATTAGCTTCTGGGTGTTTTTCAGCAACAAAATATGGCTGAGGAAATGGTCCAATATTACATCTTTGACCTACAGTCCATTGGTGAATGCCTCGGTGAGTACCAACCACTTCTCGGCTGTCTAGGTCAATGAAATTACCAGGTTTATCCTCAATGTACTGCAAATAATTAGAAAAATATATTAGATGATATGCAAGAAACTTTGAGAATGGCATACAAAAAACCAGCGTTGAATGTAATGAAATGCCATTTTCTGGGCGAGACCCCGGAGGCTCCCCAGAGCTTTCCAGGCCGATATGCTAATGTCAGACTTTGGCATCAGTTATGTGTATGGAGTTCTGTGAGCCTACCAGGGACCATGAGCCAGAACATGGCCCTCTCAGAGAAGCATGGGGAGCAGTGGTCTATAGAAACCCCCTTGTGGTTGGAGGCATTCTATGTCTGCCGACCGACCAGGTCAGGCACCCAGAAAGGTAAGCATCCCAAAACAAACCCCCTATTCTGGTGAAAATTGCTACCAAAAAGCCGAACAAGTGGATAGAACTCCTCAAACAAAACGAGCTTGACGTCACATGTCGCCGCACCGCTGTTTGCGCAGCTCCCCCCCTCCCCGGGAGGGGAGCCCCAGACCCACACGCCAGCCATCCACCCATCAGTTCTGAGGCTGGATATCAAAACACATGAAAAACCACCGACCGGGGGGAAGGAGGGATGCTGGGGAGCCTCCAGGTCTCACCCAGAAAATGGCATTTCATTACATTCAACACTGGTCTTCTGGGGAGAGCCCTGTCGTCTCCCCGGAGTTAACTACCCACAGAGGAAAAGGAAAGGGACATACCCGGGAGGCGGTCGCTGCTCACTCCTCAACCCGAAGTCAAGGCAACTAGCTGCAACCGCTGACCCAAGGCGACACAGGCCTGACTAGGCCCATGAACGTTCACGAGGTAGCGCGCAACCATAACCCTGTTCGACCGCCAAAAACCCCGCGCTTGAATGTCAGCCCAGGACATGTCGCTAAAGACGACAGCAAGAGCAGCGAACTGGGGAACGTCATGGGCATGGGGATAGACTGCAGGCTGGCTAGCCTTAATAACCCTGCGGATGATCTGGGGGTTGTCAAACGTTCTAGCCAGAACGTTTGACACCCCCCTGAACATGAACCACCAGGAGAGCCAAACCCAGAGAACTCAGCAGACGAGTCACCAGATGCGACCAGACCCAAAGAACCAAGGACCGCATCAAACCCCCGCGGTTCAGGCAATGAATCACCAGGAAGCAGTCCGAATGGAGCCGAATTGTTGCTCCTTGAGTGACCCGAATCCTCTGAAGCGAATGCCACACCACCATAAACTCCCGCGCCGTGCTGTGAGCTTGATGGAAGGAAGGACCCCACTGACCCTGGCCGGCCTGGTGAGCACTTGTCACAAAACCCCAGCCAAGAGATGAGGCATCCATGAACACATCAAATGAGGGCGGGGGAGGCACCCCGAAAAACCCGCGCAGAGGAAGCCAACGACGCAGCAGCTGATGCAAGGTTCCCGGGATCCGAACCTATCGATCACGAGAGCGGCGGAAGGGACGACCCCGAAGAAACCAGAACATCCGCCGAAACCAGATCCGACCCGATGGGTAGACCAGCACGGCGAAGCTCAGGCTCCAGCACAGCCGCTCGAACAACCGAAGTGTGACCCGGGTGCCCTCCAAAAACAGCCGGAAGCGGGACCGCAGCCGCAACAGCGTCGCAGGAGGGAGAGACAAGGAAGAGGTCCGAGAGTCTCACACAAGACCCAGCCAAGTCCGAACCTGAGAGGGAACCAAATGGGACTTCCTCCAGTTCACCAAGAACCTGAACCTGGCAAGCTGGGAAAGAGCCCTACCCCTGGCGAGCAGACATCACAGATTGGCTGGGAGACCACACCAGCCAGTTGTCGAGGTAAGCCAGAACCCGAACCCCTAACAGACGCAAACAGGTCACCACAACCCGGGTAAGGTGTGTGAACACTCAAGGTGCAGATTCAAGCCGAAAGGAAGGCAACAAAAGCAATAAGCTTGTTGCCCCAAGACAAAACCGAGCCAGTCCCTGAACCTTGGATGAATCGGGACGTGCCAATACGCATCCCGGAGGTCCAGAGACACTATCCAGACGCCAAAAGCAGCTGGACCTGAGACAGAGTGGTCATCCGAAAGGAGAAACAAAAGACCCAGGGATTCAGACTAAACAAGTCCAGTATGAATCGCAGATCTGCACAGTCCCATTTCGGAACTGAAAACAGACGGGAAAACCCACCTGAGGGACGTTGTCGTTTCGACCACACCCAAGCGAACCCACTCCCAGATGACCTGACAGAGCACAGGAGAAGAGTCCTGCCCTGCCAGCCCCGATCCCCCCGAAGGAGGAGGAGCAACCCAACGCCACTGCAGGCCGAAGGAAACGACCTGAAATGCCCACGAATCGAGGGACCAGGCAAGAGCAAACAGCGCTACCTTCCCCTCTATCGCCCCGTCAACGGGGCAACTTGCGAAAGGGCTGACAACCCCAACGAGAGCCCAACCAATATCGAGAGTGATCACTGCGCTGATCAGACGCCGACGGCTCCAGAGGAAGTGTCGGCCCTGAATCTGGCACTACTGGCTTACGACGACCGAAGGAACCCCAAGACCTGGCACGACCCTTCTGGGCAGGACCTCCATTGCCTCCCTGGAGAATCTACAAGTTCAACAAAGGCCGTCAACTAGACGAAGCCGCCTGCAGAAAATGTACCACCACAGACTCTGCAAACAGCAACGGACAAAAAGAGGATGAAAATCTAAGAGCCAGGGCCCAAGACGATTCCAAAATTTGGACGAGCATCGCCTGTCAGCATGCGAGGCGAGAAGCGAAGAACAGACACCGCCTTCCTCAGAAACGGCACATACAACTTCACCAAAGCAGCTGAGCTGCCGAAGCAAGCCCACCGAACCCTGGCCCGGAACCCAACTCCTCCACACCCAGCATGAGCCAGTCAAAAGACAGCTCCAGCAGGGAAAAGAAGCACAAGATCGAAGCCAAGTGTCTACGGGCGCACAATCCTCGGCCACCAGGGATGCCAAAAGGGAGGGAACCTGCAAGTGAAGCCGCACCTGGCCAACATCATAAGGAAGGACGGGGGTGAACAATCACACCTTGAGGTGCTCCAGTTCGCCCCCCAGGAAAACCTGAATGACCGTAGGCAACTCTCGGTATTCAAGTGCGCAGTCCGACAGGACGAATGCCAAGCCCCCAACGAAGAAAAAGCAGTCTGCCAGCCAGGAAGACTCTGGCACCTTGTAATACACACAATAGGGAAAAGAGGAGCCAAACTAAAAAAGAAGAAGGCTTCAACATCAAGGCGTAATCCGGGTCTCGCAGGAGGTAAGCAGCATCACACACCTTCCTCGGTGGGATGCGGGAAGCCAAAAACCTCCAGAAGGAGGGAACTGAAGAACCCAAGTTCGGGTTTGCCGGATGTACGGGTGTTCAGAAGAACTCCTCGGAACCGAACCCGGGGAGGAGTCGAACTCATAACAAAATCGTACAGGGAGGGGATAGGAAAACCTCTCCCTCTGTAACAAGCCCCGCACTGAAGGTACCAAACACCCAAGCAGGGACCAGTGGGGCCCAGGCCCCCCCAAAGTCAACTTCTCCCCAGCCCCGGAATCCTCCACGTCAGGACCTGGGACCGAGCCGTCCTCAAAACCCTCTGCCTTTGGAGAAAAAGCAGAGTCCACTAGAAAAGCAGGGATGAAGGGGGGGCCCGCTGGCATGGCCCAAAAGCTCCACAGGAGGACAAGGCCCGAATGCCTCCTCTGCCAATCCGGAAGGGGCAATCCCCGAAGCCGCCCGAGTCTCACTACCAGTATAATTCAGAGGGGCAGCTGCGGGGCAACCGGAAAGGCAACCAACCTCGCACGTTGTTGCAACTTTAACCTAGCATGCAATGCTAAAGCTGCCTGCACCCAAATATCAGTCTCAGTGGATTGGGTGAGTTGGAGTACAAGCAAAGAACACCACTCACAGGACTCTGGGTCATAGGTGTCACTGATCCCAACAGGCAGCAAGGTGGAGACAGACGGTCTAGGTGCATGCAGCCCCAGTACTCTTGGGTTACTCCTGGCTCACACACCACCAATACAGAGCAACAACACCGCACTGCAGCACTGTGCAAAGAGTGGAGCCAGAGCAATAGACCTTTCACCATCACAACAGCCTTTGAACTGGGAAGAGTTGCTGGCATGGAGGTCTGGGACCTCCACACTCTGGACCTCTGGGACCGTGGAGGGGCGGTTGCGTAGACGGATGCACGGCGGTTGTGGTGACATGTTTGTTTCCCGGTTTTTGAGTGGGGAGTTCCGTTTGCTTTTTCGGCTTTTGGTTTGCAATTTTTTGGCCAGCAGTAGTTTGTTTTGAAATTCCTACCTTTCTGGGTGTCTGACCTGGTAGATGGCAGACAAAGACTGCTTCCAATTACACGGGGGTGTCTTTAGGCCATTGCTCCTCGTGCCTCTCTTGAGGGGGCCAGGTTCTGGCTCTGGTCCCTGGTAGGCCTAGAACTCCTTCGATTGACTGTTGCCACGGTCTAATATATACACATCAGCCCAGTATAGCTCCGGGGAGCCGAAGGGGGATCTCCAGAGACAACTATTTTAAAGGGAAGGGTTCAACAAAAATATAAACATATATAATGAACTAACTTGTGATATAAATTCTTGGAAGTTCCTGGAACCAATGAAGCAGATTCCAGTAGAGTCTCTTTTCTTGGCAACCCGATCTAGGTTGGCACTCTCTGCTATCTTGCGCACCACATCTTTATTATAATCACCTATAAGAAACATATTTTATAAAAATTCAAAGGAAATAGTAGAAAAGTGAACCTAATATTGACAATTCTCATATATATGAAGTTAACTAAATTTAAGTACCTTGTACTATAAACTATAAATAATTTTAGAGTGAATTGTAATATTAAAAAGTATTGGATGCTATTTATTTTCTATTAGTTTACAGGATTCTTTCGTGTTGAAGCTTAATTTTTTTTTATACATCAACACATCTTTCCAGTCTATACATCAATAAAATGTTTCTTATTTTCCACATATATATATATATATATATATATATATATATATATATATATATATATATATATATATATATATATATATATATATATATATATATATATATATATATATATATATATATATATATATATATATATATATATATATATATATATATATATATATATATATATATATATATATATATATATATATATATATATATATATATATATATATATATATATATATATATGTTGTACCTAGTAGCCAGAACGCACTTCTCAGCCTACTATGCAAGGCCCGATTTGCCTAATAAGCCAAGTTTTCATGAATTAATATTTTCTCGACTACCTAACCTACCTAACCTAACCTAACATAACTTTTTCGGCTACCTGACATAACCTAACCTATAAAGATAGGTTAGGTTAGGTTCGGTCATGTATCTTCGTTAATTTTAGCTCCAATAAAAAAAATTGACCTCATACATAATGAAATGGGTAGCTTTATCATTTCATAAGAAAAAAATTAGAGAAAATATATTAATTCAGGAAAACTTGGCTTATTAGGCAAATCTGGCCTTGCATAGTAGGCTGAGAAGTGCGTTCTGGCTACTAGGTACGACATATATATATATATATATATAACTTAAAACTCACACCCCAGAAGTGACTCGAACCCATACTCCCAGAAGCAACGCATCTGGTATGTACAAGACGCCTTAATCCACTTGACCATCACGACCGGACAAAATGAGGTGATAGCCGAGGCTATTTGAACCACCCCACCGCCGGCACTCGGATAGTTATCTTGGGCATAGCATTTTACCAAATCACCTCATTCTTTGGGGCAACACGTGAGGAACACAAATGCGAACAAGCCTGAATGGTCCCCAGGACATATGCAACTGAAAACTCACACCCCAGAAGTGACTCGAACCCATACTCCCAGAAGCAACGCATCTGGTATGTACAAGACGCCTTAATCCACTTGACCATCACGACCGGACAAAATGAGGTGATAGCCGAGGCTATTTGAACCACCCCACCGCCGGCACTCGGATAGTTATCTTGGGCATAGCATGAGGTGCCAAAGAATGAAAATCACCTCATTCTTTACCAAAGAATGAGGTGATTTGGTAAAATGCTATGCCCAAGATAACTATCCGAGTGCCGGCGGTGGGGTGGTTCAAATAGCCTCGGCTATCACCTCATTTTGTCCGGTCGTGATGGTCAAGTGGATTAAGGCGTCTTGTACATACCAGATGCGTTGCTTCTGGGAGTATGGGTTCGAGTCACTTCTGGGGTGTGAGTTTTCAGTTGCATATGTCCTGGGGACCATTCAGGCTTGTTCGCATTTGTGTTCCTCACGTGTTGCCCCAAAGAATGAGGTGATTTGGTAAAATGCTATGCCCAAGATAACTATCCGAGTGCCGGCGGTGGGGTGGTTCAAATAGCCTCGGCTATCACCTCATTTTGTCCGGTCGTGATGGTCAAGTGGATTAAGGCGTCTTGTACATACCAGATGCGTTGCTTCTGGGAGTATGGGTTCGAGTCACTTCTGGGGTGTGAGTTTTCAGTTGCATATGTCCTGGGGACCATTCAGGCTTGTTCGCATTTGTGTTCCTCACGTGTTGCCCCAAAGAATGAGGTGATTTGGTAAAATGCTATGCCCAAGATAACTATCCGAGTGCCGGCGGTGGGGTGGTTCAAATAGCCTCGGCTATCACCTCATTTTGTCCGGTCGTGATGGTCAAGTGGATTAAGGCGTCTTGTACATACCAGATGCGTTGCTTCTGGGAGTATGGGTTCGAGTCACTTCTGGGGTGTGAGTTTTCAGTTGCATATGTCCTGGGGACCATTCAGGCTTGTTCGCATTTGTGTTCCTCACGTGTTGCCCCAAAGAATGAGGTGATTTGGTAAAATGCTATGCCCAAGATAACTATCCGAGTGCCGGCGGTGGGGTGGTTCAAATAGCCTCGGCTATCACCTCATTTTGTCCGGTCGTGATGGTCAAGTGGATTAAGGCGTCTTGTACATACCAGATGCGTTGCTTCTGGGAGTATGGGTTCGAGTCACTTCTGGGGTGTGAGTTTTCAGTTGCATATGTCCTGGGGACCATTCAGGCTTGTTCGCATATATATATATATATATATATATATACACAATTCACTCTAAAATTATTTATAGTTTATAGTACAAGGTACTTAAATTTAGTTAACTTATATATATATATATATATATATATATATATATATATATATATATATATATATTTTGGTAGCAGTCTTTCCTGTAGACATATATTATTAAATATGACCGAAAAAGTAAGATTAATAATTCTAACACGAATTTTCTCAATCTTTATTACATTACGCTTCACTGTTGGAGGTAAATCAAAAATCAATTCTCCAAAATTCATTTTTATTTCTAGTCTGACACGACACGGGCGCGTTTCGTAAAACTTATTACATTTTCAAAGACTTTAGTTCACAAATACACAACTAAATAGAACTTACGTATCTCCGATTTTATATCTACATTTGAGTGAGGTGGAAGGGGTGATGTGGCATTAACACAAGACAGAACAAAATGTGGTATTAATAGGGTATTAATTTCATCAACACAAGACAGAACAAGAATATTAATAGGGTATTAATTTCATCAACACAAGACAGAACACGAAGCAATGGATATTGAATAGAAGTGTTTGTAGAAAGCCTATTGGTCCATATTTCTTGATGCTTCTATATTGGAGCGGAGTCTTGAGGTGGGTAGAATATAGTTGTGCAATAATTGGCTGTTGATTGCTGGTGTTGACTTCTTGATGTGTAGTGCCTCGCAAACGTCAAGCCTCTTGTTCTGTCTTGTGTTGATATATGAAATTGGGAAGAGTTTACAATATCCTAAGAGGTTTTTGGATTTCTCGTTTGTACAAGCCAAGCGTACGTTTTATAATCACGTCCCTAAAGCGAAACCAAAAATTATTAACTCATTGGTGGTACCTTATGCGAGTGGACTTGAAAAATTGTCTCTGATTTTTAAGAAACTTAATATAAATTTGGTGTTCACTAATAGTACGATCAAATCCAATTTAATAAAAAACTCCCCTGATACAGCAGGTTGTGTGTATTCGATTCCCTGCAATGATTGTGATTCTGTGTACCTTGGACAAACAGGAAAGTCCTTACAATTGCGGTTGTCACAACATGCTTATAGTATTAGAACTGCCCAAACGTCTAATGCATTGTATCTACATACGAGTTTATGCGATCACAATATTAACTGGAATGGGGCAAAAAGCATTACCAATTGTGGGGATTTCGTGGAACGGAATTTGATTGAGTCTGCTCTAATCAGTCAGTGTCCAAATCTTCTTAATGTTAGTACTGGAATGTACAAACTTGATCCATTTTTAAGTTATAATATTGCACAACAGTTTAAGAAACAACTCTGATAGAGAGGCTTACAATGTCTCATTATAATTGTATATTCATATATTGTGTGTTCATGAGGCTTTTCTTTAATCTTTCATCCTTATTCTCTGACCGCTTAATCCTCTTTGACCATTCTAAGCTAAAGCTATACCTGTTTTTGGTTAATTACACCTGACCAACCCTTGGGATGGGGTGGTCAGGTGTCGGCCTATATATCTTCCCTCCTTCTCCCTTCTCCTTAGTCAGTCTGGTGTTGACAAAGGCTTTAACAAAGCCGAAACGTTCACCTCATTTCATATTTCTCTGTGGATTTTCCGCATAAAATGATCAGTGTTTTGTGATCGTCAATTGCATATATATATATATATATATATATATATATATATATATATATATATATATATATATATATATATATATATATATATATATATATATATATATATATATATATAATATTATATTACAGTGGTACCTCGGAATGCGATTGTCCCTGTATGCGAGGTTTTCGGAAGGCGAGGTGTATTTACTCCAAAAATTTGTCTCGGAAGGCGATGGTTACTTCGGGAGGCGAGTTTGGACGCGAGTTTGTTGATACGCGTACAGCCGACCTAGCGCGTTCGTCGCCCCTCCGCCCCACCGCCCCTCAGTTTATTATTGTCTCGCGCTCAGTGACTACCCCCACATCAATTCTTCTCGCGGATTTTCAGTGTTTTGTTGGATTTTTGGTGATTTGTCTATACAATTTGTTATTATATATCTCACCATGGGTCCCAGGAAAGCCAGTGGTAAGGATAAAGGCCAGAAAGCTCATGTGAGGATGACAATAGAGGAGAAACAAGAGATCATTCGGAAGCATGAGAACGGTACACGTGTTGTTGAACTTTGTAGGCAGTACAACAAAGCCACATCAACAATATGCACTATACTTAAGAAGAAAAATAAGATTATGGGTGCTAAAGTGGCAAAAGGAGTAAGAACATTAACGGCACAAAGACCACAAATACTTGAAGAAGTGGAAAAGTTGTTATTAATTTGGATACACGACAAGGAGTTGAGGGGTGATAGTGTTTCGGAGGCCATTATTTGTGAGAAAGCCAGGGTGTTGCACGAAGACCTTCTAAAGAATACCCCTGCAACAAGTGATGCAGATAAGAAAGAGTTTAAGGCAAGCAGGGGCTGGTTTGAAAAATTTAGAAAGAGAAGTGGTATCCATAGTGTTACAAGGCATGGGGTTATGTGATGTGATTATGGAAGGGGACTCCCCTTCCAAACAGTAACTCCTCTCCTCCTCCCCCCTCCTCACCATCTTCCATACACCTACAGCACTCGACAGCAAGGTAAGTAATAACTGGAACACAGTTTTGTAGGTTTATTTAGATGAATTAGGTATAAAAATTTAGTTTGATGTGGAGTTTTTGGGGTAGTCAGGAACGGATTAATTCATTTCCCTTTATTTCTTATGGGGAAATTAACTTCGGAATGCGAGTTTTCGGAAGGCGAGGCGTCTCCAGGAACGGATTAAACTCTTATTCTGAGGTATGCCTGTATATATATAATATAATATATACAAAACAACTCTGAAATAATGGGCAAATATAATAACAGCAGGAGACTGGACATCAGCGAGGCACTACATATTAAGAAGTCCAAACCAGCAACCAACACATAATTACATTTTACCCACTTCAAGACCCAGAGCCAATGCAGACACAGTATCCAATGACCCTACTGATCCATTTATTCATTGAGACCCCTTGATCCACTTATTCATTGATATATTTACTGCCCCCCTTGTTATGGCATTCATCCACCACCTCACCAAAAGAGTATATAATCCAATGTAAACACTGTCAAATTGTCTTTGAGAATGCAAGGTGTACCTCGCAATATGCATCCCCAAGTGTCAGACTATAATAAAGTGTAAAAATTAACTTTGGAGAGTTAATTTTTCAACTTCCCTTGATAGTGAAGAAAAACGTAAGAAATATTGAAAAGATTCATGTTAGTAAAGTTAAAATCATTTACTTGCCCAAAGGAAACATCGTGTGCTGCAAGGAATTCTGCGAAATCTGACTTAGGAAGAAAGTTTGATCCTTCAGACGATCTATACCCTGCAACAGTCTGGCACCTGTTATAACAAAAAAAAATTTTTACGGCTCTTAAGATATATCACTCTGGATATATCACATCTGTAAATGTCAAGTCATAGCTTGGAGTAAATATATATGATCTTACTATTTACCAGTCAATCATTTACCTTCAACCACTTTTTACATTGATTACATGTATATCTGAACAAATAACTAGAAAATTAATCTTTCAATTTACATTCTTCAATCAATATTTACTCTAATATACAGTACAATAATTGTTATCTAATTTGTATTAGATGGGGCAGACTTCCATCTGAGTTGTTCAAAGTTCCTATGATGTATGTAAAAAGCCAGCGTTGAGTGTAATGAAATGCTATTTTCTGGCGGTATCTCCGGAGTCTCCCTTAACCACTGTGCTGCACCAACTGAGAAAACTCAGTCAGTGGAAGACTCTGCCAACCGAGAAAAACACCTTTTGAATATTTTGTACCCATTCAAAATGTGTGCGCGGTAGGTTGTGTACGAAATGGACTCATGGGACCTCCAGTGAGAGGCAGCCATCTTGGAAAAAAATTCCTGAATGCCCTAGGGCTGCTGGCTGAGTTAGTACTGAGTGAGCAACCATGGGTGGTTGCTCACAGGTGGGCAACCACCCACTCAACCACTCACAGGTTGCTCAGGTGGTTTGCTAGCCTCTGGCTAGCAAACACCTGTCCGACGCGGTGTTGAAAGATCGCTCTCTGTTGGTGAAATTCAGACCTTATTGTTTGAAGAATATAAGGGTCATGATATTGATGAAGATAGGCGCAATAAGGACCCAACACAAAGGTCGGATGCAAGTGATACAGCACCAATGAGGACGATACAGCGAGCGAATCCAGTTGTAGCTCTGAGCGCCACCCTTGCCCACCTATGCCATCTCCAATTTTTATAGATGATACATAGATGAATCGTTTTCTGAGTTCAGTGATGATGCATCTGATACAAGTAGCATAGATGAACAGTGTTAGCGGCTTCCATCGTGGTGTTTTCCATAGATATTTTCAAGAATAGCTAAAGCTCTTCCAGAATGACTGAATCTCTTCCAGTGAGGGACTTTACAAAGCAATCTTTTCATGATTACCTTTCAAATTGATCTTTTCCTATAATCTTTTCAAGACTACCTTATGCTTCACAAGCTTGGCTACATACCACCTACAGGTACTAAAGCCAAGGGTGTACATTAGTGCGTTATTTGCAAGCACAAAGAAAATGGAAGCAAAAATCTATCTGTACCTGGTGCAACGAGAGTGAAGTCGCACTGTGTACCATGGACTGCTTCATTGATTATTACTCACTTCTGAATTACTGAGTAATTACTTAAGTGTAGTTACAGGATGAGAGCTGCGCTCGTGGTGTCCCGTCTACCCAGGACTCTTTGTCATATAACTCTTTGAAACTTCTGAGTGTGTTACTGTGTAAATAGTGTGTGAAACTGTACTTATTGTAAGTTTAATGAATTTTTAACAAGTAATATTCCGACAATAAACATTTATTGAGGATACATTACTGACACTGGTATCACAGTTCCATGTAACATTATGAACGTTCTACTGTATACATATTTTAAAGGACACAAATATGCATCATATACGATAACAAAAAATAAAACTGCATTGGAAATACATAGAACAAATAAAGTGGGGCCTCGATTTATGATGGTAATCCGTTCCCAGAGACATATCGTAAGTCGAAGCAATTTTTCCCATAAGATATAAAGGAAATTGAATTGATCCGTTCCCCACCCTCCAAAATATTAACTTACAAATACATTTTATACTGAATACAATTATTTTCTCTAACTACAATACAGTACATATGTTTATCTCACCTTTATGGAAGGCTCTTGATGGTGTATGGAAGATGGTGATGAGAGGAAAGGAGGAAAGGTGTTACTGTTTGGAAGGGGAGTACCCTTCCATTATAACATCAGGCAGTGATGATTTTTCTGGGATACACACACTGGTATGTTTTGCCTACATACCACTTGGACCTGCTTGTGGATTACTGCTTGCTTGTCTTAGTAAGAATCTGTCTAAAGACACTTGTTTTTCCCAATATTTTAACACTTGTCTGTAGTAAGACATCACATTGTCATTTAAAGGTCAATGCAATGGCCTGCTACAACTTTATTTGGGTGAGTTTTTTCAACAAAACTTTGCAGTTCTTCCCATACTTGACACATTTTCTTAATGAGGAAGGACATCCTCTACTCATAACTATTATCTTAGGTTGAACCTTACCACTGACTTTCTTAGGACCCATGGCATGATATATAATAATCAGTTTTATGTTCAAAAAACAAAAAATCACCACAAAAACAGAATTTCTTATAGGCGTGATCGTCACTAAATGGGCAGCTCTAGCAAACTGAGGCAGGTCGGCCTGCGTGACCGGGTACCACACGCTCGGTCAACCCAAATGTGTACCAACAAATATCGTTAGTCGACAACACTATCGTAAGTTGAGTTGCATTTTTCTATCAAATTTACATCGTAACTCGAAATTACCGTAAGTCGGGGCAATCGTAAGTCGAGGTGCCACTGTTATTGAAAATATATTTGTGGCAACTTGCAGTGCTTGAAAGGACCGCGCAACAGCCAAAATAAGAGGATTTTTTTTTTTTTTTTTTTTTTACATGTACACTGGTACCTCGGGTTACGAATGTCCCTGTTTAGAAACTTTTGGGTTACGAGCCCGATTTGTTTGGGAAAATTTGAATCGGGATACAAAGTTCTACATCAGAATACAAGTTTGTTGATACACGGACAGCTGACCTAGCGTATGGTGGCACGGCGATCGCGCCTCAGTTTACCAGTGCCTCCCGCCCAGTGACTATCCCGCCTGAATTCTTCACAAGGATTTACAGTTTTTTGTCAGATTTTTGGCCATTTGAGCATAAAGGTTGTTATTATATATCTTGCTATGGGTCCCAAGAAAGCCAATGGTAAGGTTCAAGGCAAGAAATCACATATGTGAATGACCATAGAGGAAAAACAAGAGATCATTCAGAAACATGAAAATGGTACTCGTGTTGTTGATCTAGCTAGGCAGTACAAGAAATCTTCAGGGTAGGAAGAGGAGGCAGTAGAGAATGTCCCTTCTTTATTAATTAAGAAAATGTGTGCAGAATGGGAAGGACTGCAAAGTTTTGCTGAAAAGAATTGCCCAGAGAAAGTTGTAGTAGGCCGTTGCATTTATTTTTTCAATGACAATGCCTAACTACAGACAAGTGTTGCAAAGAAGGGAAAAACAATCTTCAATGGAACGTTTCCTGGTGAGAAAAGTGAGAAAATCAAGCAGTGAGCCACAACCAGAACCTAGTGGTATGCAGGCAAAACGTGCCAGAGTGCACTACAGAGAAATCTTCACTGCCTGATGTTATAATGGAAGGGGACTCCCCTTCCAAACCGTAACACCTCTCCTCACCATCTTCCATACGCCAACAGAAGTCATCAGCAAGGGGTAAGTAATAACTTGAACGTATTTTTGTAGTGAAGATTTGGGTGAATTAGGTATAAAATTTACTTTGAAGTGAAGTTTTTGGGGAGTCGGGAACGGATTAATTCATTTCCCATTATTTCTTATGGGGAAATTCACTTCGTTTTACAAATTTTCGGGTTACGAACCATCTCCAGGAACGGATTAAATTCTTAAACCGAGGTACCCTCTGAACATGTTCAGAGAAGGGAATTTATCAATTTACAAAAGATCAACAAAATTTTTGCGAACACTTGATTTCATGCCTATGGGGAATGTCACAATACAAAACAGACCTTGATTTTGCTGGATTCAATGAAGAAAGCATTGATATAACCAGTCTATACAACAAGTTGGTAAAATTAGATACTATAGTGAACTCTCATGTAGAAATAATTAGTAAATTGAAAGAAAGTAATGACCAATTTAAATAGCAAAGTTGTATGTCTTGAGGTTTTAGTGAAAGACTTGTGCAAGGATAAGAATCAATTGGAAACAAATGGCAAAGCCATGGAAGAAGAAAATAAACTTTTAAAAATAGCTATGGAAGAAGTTAAAGTAAATTTAAACTTAAATGACTACAATAGGTTAGGTAAGGAAATTCAACAGGAGAAACAGCTTTTGTCAGCACAGATGGAGGAAGTTACACAGGGAATAGAATAGTGCAAGAAAGATATGCAACTCACCAATGCACAAGTGGCCAAGGAGAAGGAAAAAAATTGAAGAAGCAGTAAAGGAAGTCAAACACTGTAGCAACCAAGATAAAACAAACATTAGGCTGGAAGTGAGGAAAGAATTGGCATCTAACCCGAAGTTGGTGCAAAACACAGTTGATCGGAGTAAGTCCCTGATAATTTTTGGCTGCAAAGAAAAGGAGATAACATCTAGGTCAGAAAGAGCTGTAGAAGAAGCAAAAGTAGTAGATAAAATTGTTGGCCTCGTGGAAGGTCTTACAACCATAGAGAATGTGTGCGACTACAGGGGAATAGGCAGATATGTAAAATGGAAATATCGACCTTTGAGGATCACCCTAAATGGTGCCAAACAGATGGAAGAAGTACAAAGGGATGCTAGCAAATTACAAAGTGATGAGGATGGGAAAGCGTGATCGTTAAGACGAGATCTTTCAAAAGAAGATAGGGTGAAGCTGAAACTGAACCTCGCCGAGGCAAAACGTTTAAATGAGAGCAGGAATGAAGAAATCAATTTTTTTTTTCTACAAAGTGATAGGGGTAGGCAGACCAGTAAAGTGGTACATAAACATTGCATACTTTATTCCCAAAAAGACATGGTCACTTTTACTCAAGGGAAGAAGGTACTGAATGTCAAATATCTCTTCCTCCTTCCTGGTAAATATCAAATCAAGCATGGAGGGAATGTCCCCTTCCCTCATCCTCGTAGCTTGTTTAACATGTTGATACAAGAATGTTTCCAGGAAGAGGTCTACAAATCTACAGGTCCAAAAATCTTCTGTTTTAGCTTCATATGCTTCCCAGTCTATGGCTTTCAAGTTGAA